CACTTTTTAAAAAAATCAGTCTTAGAAACAGTAAATCCTGAAGTCTAGGTAATTTTCCAGGTGAGGTGGCTCATGCTTGTAATCCCAGCACTTTGGGAGGCTGAGGTGAGAGGATTGCCTGAGTCCACAGGTTTGAGACCAGCCTGGACACCATGGTGAGAACTTGCCTCTACAGTAAATCAAAAAATTAGCTGGGTATGGTGGCACACACCTTTAGTTCCCACTTCTTGGAAGTTTGAAGTGGAAAGATCACCTTAGCCCAGCAGGTCAAGGTCATGATGGCCATGAGCATGCCACTGCACTCTAGCCTGGAGGACACAGTGAGACTCCAACTCCAAAAAAAAAAGAATGTAAGACATAGTGTTTCCAGATGTAATTGCTCAGCAAGTTTAGGAACAGCATGAGTTAGTTGCCACTACCTACCCCACCACCCAGGATAATAGTCTTAGCTATGCTGCACATTAAACTGTTGTGGTACAAACTGTCAAGAATTACTTCACCCAAATGAAAGTTAGTAGCAATATCTCACTTGTGTGACCCTTGCTCATGTGTTTGCTGTAACTACACTAGCAGCAGCATACTTATATATATAGTTGTTGTTATTCATTGGATCGTAATGACCAAAGTTGTAGTTTGAAGATGTGGCGTATGGGCCAGACACGGTGGCTCACGCCTGTAATCCCAGCACTTTGGGAGGCCGAAATGAGAGGATTGCCTGAGCCCATGGGTTTGAGGCCAGCCTGGGCAACTTGGGGAGACCTCATCTCTACAATAAATCAGAAAATAAGCCAGGCGTGGTAGCGTGCACCTCTAGTTCCAGCCACTTGGAAGACTGAGGCGGAAGGATTGCCTGAGCCCAGCAGGTCGAAGCTGCGGTGGCCGAGTGTGCCACTGCACTCCAGCCTGGGTGACAGAGTGAGCATTCAACTCAAATTTAAAATAAAATAATAGTAGTAAGATGTGGCGTTTAGACACATTGTAATTCTGACAAGTGTTTGGATTTTCAAGTCACACATGAGCTCCTCTGTATTTCTGTGGTGGTTTATTATCTCACAGACTTCCAGGCTTGACCTCTTGATGGAAAGAGCATTAGAAAGCATACAGCAGCTGGGCTCGGTGGCTCAGCCTGTAATCCCGTGCCTTTGGGAGGCTGAGGTGAGTGGATTGCCTGAGCCTGCGGGTTCGAGACCCGCCTGGGCAGGGAGACCTCATCTCTACAATAAATCAAAAAATCAGCCGGGCATGGTAGCGCATGCCTGTAATTCCGGCTACTCGGAAGGCTGAGGCGGAAGGATCGCCGGAGCCCAGCAGGTCGAGGCTGGCGGTGGCCGGGAGCGGCCACTGCACTCCAGTCTGGGTGACAGAGTGAGACTCCAACTCAAACAAACAAACAAAAAAAAGCAAGCATACAGCATACTCTTCCCTCTGCACTGCTCCCAGGGGAACCTCCACTGTGTCCTCTCTGAGCACCAGCCATCCAGATGCTGGAAGAGCAGTGAAGGGGAGGGGGGTTGCTAAGAAGGTGGCAAAGAGTGAGGTGCAAACCTCAGCAATGCCCTCACAGATGTACGTTATGGTGTCAGTTTGTGTGTCCTCTGTTACTGGTAGTAAATGGAACACAGTAGGTAAGTACGCCCGGGTTTTCCCTTTGCAAGACACAGGCTTTTCAAGGTCCCCCTCCCCGCCCCTGCTTTAATGGAAGCCAGGTATCAGTTCCCACCTGGGAGGCCTTGTGTGAATCGCTCAAGGCCTTCATCCTCACTTGTGAAGTCGGAGAGAGCCCTCCATTGAATTAAATGTAGGGTGCCTTTTATTTTTAAAGTCTATAATTCTTTGGAATTTCAAAACACTTATACCAGAAAATTACTTTGTAATCCACATGAGTCTTTAAAAATATTAAATTCCAAATTTAACTATAGAACATTAACACCCAGGTGGCTGTTGCATAGTGTTGTAAATGGAGCAGGTGTATAAATTAGGCTGGAAATCCTTTATAAGTACAGTACTTTGCTGCTGCTTCCCCGTCCTTGTCTAGCAGAATGAGCCTGCATCACTGCCTGAACCACAGAAAACAGCTCCTGGTGAGAAAACGGAACTTTAACACCAGAGATAGGAATCTTTAAGTGACTTGGCCACCTTGTGGCCATCTTCTTCCTTCTGTCTTTACCAAGCATCTTCTGACTTTTGTCTTCAAAATAAAATGCCATAATAGTCTTGCTGGGCAAGGTGGCTCATGCCTGTAATCTCAGGTACTCTGGAGGCCAAAGCAGGAAGATCGTGTGAGCCCAGGAGTTCTGGTCCAGCCTGCACACCATAGTGAGACCCTGTGTCTAAGGAAAAAAAAACAGCATCATATACCACTTCAACCTCTTTAACAAATGTAATCCTCTCTTTAGTTTGTTGATGGAGCATGGAGAATGATGTAAAGGACATTGGCAACTCAGAAGGAGAAGGGTGGGAAGGGGTGAAAGGATGAAAAATCACCTACAGAATACAATGTGCACAGGTAGGGGTGGAGGGTACACTTAAAACACAGACTTCTTCACCACTATCAATGCAGCCAGGCAGCCAATGACCATTTGTACCCACTACAGCTACTGAAATGAATAAATAATAGGATTTTTGCTGAAGTGTAGATCTGAGGCTTTACAACGCAATCTTTTTACTGAATCCCTCAACAGATAGTTCTTCCAATGTATGCTCCACAGTATTCTTCAGCACTCTTTACTGTGTTCTTTACAAAAGGCTCCCCCACCCAGCACACAAAATGAGCACATGCATTCTTATTGTATGCACATTCTGGCTATTTGTCTTATAGGTAGCCATAAATTTATAAAATACACATATTTTTCTGAAAATTCTAAAGTAATCATACCTCTCAAGAATATTCTAGCAGAGGCTGGGCACAGTGCCTCACGCCTATCATCCCAGCAGTTTGGGAGGCTGAGGCAGGAGGATTGCTTAAGCCCAGGAGTTCAAGACCAGACTGGGAAACATGGGTGAGTCCTCATCTCTACAATAAGTCAAAAAAATTAGCTGAGCATGTAGTTCCAGCTACTTGGGAGGCTGAGCCCAGCAGGCCAAGGCTGTGGTAGCTATGAACATGCCACTGCACTCCAGCCTGGGTGACAGTGAGACCCTGGCTCCAAAAAAAAAAAGGACTATGTTAGCAAGATAATAAAAATGGAAAATTGCCTTAAATAATCAAACTTTTTTCCCCATCCTGTGTAATTTCAGGGCATCCTAGAACGCTTAAACGCTGGAGAGGTTGTGATTGGAGATGGAGGGTTTGTCTTTGCACTGGAGAAGAGGGGCTATGTGAAGGCAGGGCCCTGGACCCCAGAAGCTGCCGTGGAGCACCCAGAAGCAGGTTGGTGCAGACTCGATTCTGCGTGCTCAGAAAGGGCATTTGTGGGCCACACTAGGAGCATGCCCTCAAACAGAGGCATCCCGGCCACGGCTCCTGCGTCCTCTTGGGGCCTGCTGGGCCCCATGCCAGGTCTTGTGAGGTCTGAGCCGCATGCTGGGGAAGCACAGGGCCCTCCTCCCTGTCATCAGCCGCCTGCCTTCTGGCCCCTGGCCTTGCGCTAGATGCAGCTGGGACCTGGCTCTGCCTTCCTCTCTGCCCCTCCCTCTCATGGCCTAGGCAACTTCAGCACCCGTCAAATGATCCCTCCAGCCCTTTGCCTGGCGGTGCCTTGATCTCCACCCCCACTTAGCAACCTGCTTCTAGACGTTGCCATCACTGAGCGTTGTGCGCCTGCAGATCTCAACCACAAGGCCCCTCAGACCACCTTCTGTTTCCCCTCTTACTCTCTAGCGCTCCCACCCACAACCTCGCCAAGGCCCCGTGTCCTTCGTCCAGACCGGCTTAGGGCTCACTATCTGTCCCCACTGCACCCTTTCCTCACCCACCTTAGGTCCCATGGGGCCATGCCTAGTCACTGTCTTGCAGATGGGCTCTCCCTCCATCATCTGTTTACCAACTAGCTCCATTCATGGTGCATGAGCCCCACCCCATGTGAAGGCAGCCATCTGCCTCTCCCACGCCCGCACTCACGCACCTTGCCTGCGCTTGACATTTCTGGCAGTCTCTGATATCCAGGAGGGAGGTGGAACGAACTGAGCGAGTGAAGGCTGCCTTCTTTTTTTTTAAACTTTTTATTATTATTTCATTTTAAAGATATGAGGTACAATTCAGGATTAGATACATAAGTGGTCGATGTACAGGTGAAGTTTGGGCCTTCCATTAGTCCTCATTTCTCCTGGTTCAGGATCAGGTACCCTTATTGATGTTATGTGCCCCCTCTCTCTCCCCTGGCAGTGACTGAAGTCTGCCTTCTAAGGCAGAACCTCTGCATTGCCTCAAGCAGGAGGGAAGCCTTCCTCTCTAAAAGGGTGGGATAAGGCCGGGCACAGTGACTCATGCCTGAAACCCCAGCACTTTGGGAAATGGAGGTGAGAGAATTGCCTGAGCCAAGGGGTTCGAGATCAGCCTAGGCAACTTGATGAGACCTCATCTCTACAATTAGAAAGAAAATTAGCCAGGCATGGTAGCACATACCAGTGCTTCCAGCTATTTGGAAGACTGAGGCTGAAGAATCACCTGAGTCCAGCAGGTTGAGGCTACAGTGGCCATGAGCGTGCCACTGCATTTCAGCCTGGGTCACAGAGTGAGATTTCGACTCAAATAATAATAGTAGTAATAATAAAGGAAAAGGGCAGAATGACCACTTCTGCAGGCAGAAGACTCAGGCAGGATCTGGGTGTTCAAAGTTCCGAGTGAGGCCCATAGGCCTCGAACACCCCACCCCCACCCCATCTAAGGGCCTCTTTTCTCCCTAGTTGGGGCCCTGACTTTGGCACAGCAGGCTTACCTGACTGAGAATTCAGCCTCTCTGGAGTTGCCCAGGGGACCATCAGACTTCAGACTCTGCCTCACGCTGGAGTAATGCACCCCTGGTCTTGTGTTGCCTTTCTTCAGTTCATTGGTGGTACCGCTATCTGATCCCATGGTCCTTGTGTTTGCGGCTTCCCTTGAGCCCCACAAACATCTGAGCTGCTGCACCAGCTGGTACATCCCCTTCCAAGGCAGCCCCACCCTGTTCACTAGAGAGCGAAGCCTTCAACTGGGGCGTTTGAGAACTCTCGGTGCACCTCTCCCATGGGGTGCATGGGTGCTCAGTACAGCTGGAGGGAAAGCCAACTCCAAAATGGCACTTCGGAGATGTTTCCTGGGACTGTTCCTGCTGCAGCTGGTGCTGACTGGGCCACCCAGGAAACAAATTCTGAAGTGAAGTTTTGTGTGCAGGAGTTTTAGGAGAGAGTGCTCTCAAGAATCAATCTCCGCAGGAGTGAAGGAAGCAGGACCCAGCAGAGGAGGAAACATACCGTGGTGCAGTTGTGGCAGCGGCCTCACCACCCTCTGGGGCTCTGCCGCAGGCAGGCCCTTCAGAGCTGTCCCCCTGGTGAGATGAGGCAATCACATCTTTGTGCCCTCCACCTACCAACAGACCTCACACTGCTTGTGAGCTCTCAGCACCATCCCTGCGCCCACAGTGGAGGCTGAGCATTGGGCAAGGGAACTCCCTTTGGCCTCACTGGAGAGTGTCTCAACTGGGCGCTACCAGCTGCCAACACACTGGCAGCCAGAGGAGGGGTGAGACTCACCCGAGGTGTGGATCAGGGTGGTATGTGGTATTAACCACTGCAGCCTCCTCTGTGCCCCCTGAGCATGCTAAGCTTGTTCCCACCTGAGACCTTCTGCCTGTCACGCTCTCACCCTGCTCTTTTTATTTCTGACACCTTCCCTAGCTGTCTACTCTAAAGTAGCCCCACTGTCACTATCAGTTATCTTTATAACTTCTTTATTATTCTGTTTTATTTTCCTGATAACATTCTCTACGTTTTCTATGTTTTTTATTATTGTCGTCTTTATTTGTCTGGCGGTATTGGGAGGTAGTTTTATGCTTATTGTTCCCTGATGTGTCTCCAGCCCCCAGAACATTCCATGGCTGGCATGTGCTGATGGAATGAATGAAGGAATTCTAACTGGAATTCCAGCTGGACAAAGTGAGGGGAGATAGGTCTTCTCTGAATGGTTCCATAATGTAACAAAAGGGAGGGCTTTATCAGAGTTTCACGGGTCTGGGAAAAAGGCAGGTGAGAAAGGCCATTCTAATTTGATGGCTTTGTTTTCAAAAGTAGCCTTTGGACAGGCAGGTGAGGGCATCTGAGCAGATACTGGCCTGAGATAGGAAGAGGAGCTTTATTCACACTGTGAAGCCCAACAAATGTACACAACTTTTATATTTCCAAATAAAGATAGAAATAATACTATATTCTACCTTCTTTTTTTAAAAGATGAAATTGGCCAGGTGTGGTGGCTCACACCTGTAATCCCATCACTTTGAGAGGCTGAGGCAGGAGGATTGCTTGAGCCCAGGAGTTCAAGACTAACCTGGGCAAAATAGTGAGACCTCATCTCTACAAAAAAAAAAAAAAAAATCAGAAAATTAGCTGGGTGTGGTGGCACACATCTGTAGTGGCAGCTATTCAGGCTGAGATGGAAGGATCATCTAAGCCCAGGAGGTCGAGGCTGTGGTGAACCGTGATTGTGCCAATGCACTCCAGCCTGGGAGATAGAATGAGGCCCCAACTTAAAAAAAAAAAAAAAAGAAGAAGAAGAAGGGGAGATAGAGAGAAAGAAAAACAAAGTGAAATTAATAGGCTTGGGAAGCTCAAATTTTAGTTTCATCAGCAGAGTGTGATGAAATTTCAGACCCCTGCACCCTACTTCTAGCGATCTGGGTTCATGAGATTTGTGAGGGGTCCAAGGACCCAAGAGTGTCATCATTGTCCTCAGGTGACTGTGAAGTGAGAAACACATTGAAAAGCATGGCATGAAAGGGCTCAAAGCAGCACAGTGGAACAGCAATTAAGAACCCAAAGTGAGGATTTCAAATATACCTGTGGTTTGCTTCATATGTCTGCTTGCCAGGTGAAACTCAGGAATACTAAACCACTTTGGGGCCAAATGTGTCAGAATCCAGACTCTGCCATGTAGACAAAATTAGACTGTTATTTAAGCCACAGGTTTCAATTTTGTGTCACATTAAAATGAAAAAGTTGTGTGTTAGAGGCACTCAAGAGAAACTGCTCTGATATTTTTTTCAATTCTATTAATGCAGAAACAGCACATTTTCTCTCTTGGCCATCTTTGTCATGGGTATTTTGAGCTTGTTTGGGTGTAGTGAGCATTCGCTCTACTTTTTCCTGTGGGAGCTCCAAGCTTTTCAGGAATTAATGAAAACTCTATGACAGTGAGTCACTGGATTTCATCTCTTCTGCTACAGATGGAAACCTCATGGATTCCATCTGCTAGCACACAGCTCAAATTCTGCCAGCCACAGTGGACCACAGGCAGCCTCAGATAAGACACATCTCCTGTAACACAGCCTCATGGGACAGTGGCTGTATTCGGCCTTTTGGAGGATGAAAGGTGTTTCACACATTCATGTTCTGAATGAGAGGAGTAATCAGTTTTCATGCTATTTTATACAAGTGAATTTGTGTATCTGCAAGGGCTTTTGTGACTTAGACTAGGTGGTAGTGAGAATTGATATAGACCCTGAAGACTAGGCTTCACCTGAAACATGCTGATGTGTCTTGTGCCTGGGCCTGGCTTATTTGTACTGGAGTAGTGAGAACGGGCAGGTTTTGCTACAGACCCACCATCCCTTATCTAAACCACTTTGGGGCCAAATGTGTCAGAACCCAAACATTCTGGGATTTGGGAACGTGAATGCAGAGCCTACACTGGCTGCCACATAACCCTCCCATTGGACCCATTATCAGACACATCACCACTTTTGTGCATCAAAGTATATGGCTACCCTCACTAGTGGAGATACAGTTATAAATACCTTTGTGTTAGTTCAGGTCACATTTTGCCACCAAATGATTTGCTGCAAACTTATTATTCCACTGAAGAAATAATGCAGAATTTCAGTTGAGCTTTTAGAATTTACTGTGGAATTTCAAAAGCTTGCATCTTTTAAGCTTAATTTTTAAGGCTAGTATCTAACTATGCTCTGTACATACATAATCATGTAATAATGCGTATTTGGCTGCTATGATGTTAAAATAAAATTAATATAATTAGGAGCATAATGCCCCCAAAATAAAAGTAATTAGTGTAAATAGTATACTAATATAGTATATATTAACATAGAATTGTGTTATTGAGATCAGTCACATCCTATTATTGATTAGAAGATGAATCTGGAAACCTTGTTATGAGATTTATTTATTTATTTATTTTTAGTTGGAGTCTCACTCTGTCACCCAGACTGGAGTGCAGTGGCCGCTCCCGGCCACCGCAGCCTCGACCTGCTGGGATCCGGCGATTCTTCCACCTCAGCCTTCCAAGTAGCTGGAACTACAGGTGAGTGCTACCACACCCGGCTGATTTTTGATTTATTGTAGAGATGTGGTCTTGCAAAGTTGCCCAGGCAAGTCTCGAACCTGCAGGCTCAGGCAATCCACTCACCTCAGCCTCCCAAAGCGCGGGATTACAGGTTGAGCCACCGATCCCGGCTTTTTCTTTCTTTCTTTCTTTTTTTAGAAAGCAGGATTTAAGAGGACAGAAAAGTTCCCACATTGGGAGGGGACCCGAGGGAGTTGCCCAGATGAACAATTTTAACAAGATTAAAAAAAAAAAAATCTGGCCGGTATGGTAGCTCATGCCTGTAATTCCAGCACTTTGGGAGGCAGAGGAGAGAGGATTGTCTGAGCCCACGGGTTCGAGACCAGCCTGGGTAAATTGGTGAGACCTTGTCTCTACAATAAAATAATGATAATAATAAAAAAAGTTAACCGGGGTGGTGGTGTGTGCCTGTGGTTTCACCTCCTTGGAAGGCTGAGGTGGAAGGATCACCTGAGCCCAGCAGGTCGTGGCTACAGTGGTCTTGAGCGTGCTACTGCACTCAGCTTGGGTGACAGTGAAACTGACTCAAAATAAAAAAGGCCGGACTCAGTGGCTCAGTTTGTAATATCAGCACTTTGGGAGGCCAAGGTGAGTGGATTGCCTGAGCCCGAGAGTTCAAGACCAGACCAGGAACCTTGGTGAGAACGCTTCTCTACAATAAAATAAAAATAAAAAAATTAGCCGGGAGTGGTAGCATGTGCCTGTAGTTCCAGCTATTTGCAAGGCTGAGGTGGAAGGATCGCTGGAGGGCAGCCAGTCAACACCGGGGTGACCGTGAGCGTGCCACTGTACTCCAGCCTGGGCAACAGAGTGAGACTCCAACTCAAAGTAAAAAAAATTTTTGTTGTATTGCCAAACTCCCCAAGGCAATAGTTTTCTGTTATGGGTGTGGAACCCTTCATGTCTCTCTGTCTCCGAATCTTAAGGATTTTTAAAAATTAAATCATTGTTTCTAAGGAGAAGTCCTAATCTCAAGGAATCCATGTGATGGAGCATGTCTGTGCTGGTCTGAGGCCCTACCCATATTCTGTGGCTTAGATTTTAGCTGAATAGGCTGGAGGCTGCCTGTTTCTACATGTTGTGGTACATGACCCACAGGGAACAAAACACAGTTGTGGGACTGGCAGCATGTCTCTCCAGCACAGAGAATGTAAGGCTGTGTATAGAACAGCATTGTATGGAACAAAAATGCCATCAGCCTCTACCGGTGCCTGTTTTTTGTGTTTTGTTTTTTAAGTTGAGGTCTTACACTGCTGCCCAGCCTGGTGTGCTGTGGCACAATCCCGGCCTCCACATGCTGGGCAAGACAAGTCTTCTGCCTCGGCCTCCCAAGTAGCTGGGACTACAAGTGTGCACCACCATGCCTGGCTGTTTTTTTGATATTTTGTAGAGACAGAGTCTGCTATGTTGCCCAGGCTGGCATGATCTCAAGGGACTCGCGTTTGGGGATGAACCAGCTGGGCGTAGCAGGTGACCAGGCTGCCACCTCATGTGAAGTGGTCACTTGCCTCTCTTCCCTTGTCCAGGAGAGACTCTCTCTGCAGAACTAAGCAGGTGGCACTTTTCATAGTGCCAACTCTCCCCATGTCTGGGGATGTAAAAATGCAAAAGAAGCAGGGAGGGAAAATGGGGTGGAGATGGAAGAGGCGGGGG